ATAAGCGGCGGGCTTATTAACCGTGGGCTTAATAGCCGGCGACTACTGTATACTACAGTAACAATAGCTTGTAGTTTGATAGGTATCATCGGGAGGAGACCAAAAAAGCAGAATATCAAGCCCGGACTCCATTACAACACGAAAGCCAAAATTCATTAAGTCTTACCTCCTCATCCATAAAATCTTCTGGTTCAGCCTTCTTTTTCAGTTCCGCATTATCACGATTTCGTCTTGATGAGATAAAGGACTTTGGTTGGAAACCTTTACAAAAAAGCAAGGTATATTGTGTACGGTGATAGTCAGGTCATACTTAAAGGAAAGGGCATAAAATGATTTTAAAAAAACATGAAGGCGAACTGACAGTATGACCAGAATTAGAAAAGCTGGTAAAAGGCTGAAATGCACAGGCATACCTTCCTTCGATCCCACTGAATTGAAGTAACCCGCAGAAAATCCTCCAGTGAATGCACCATGAAAGCGCTGAGGTCTTCCTCTTTCATTCAAGACACGCTTTTCGTAGGCCTGTGGCTGAACCTTTCTTTTCTGAGAATTGTAAGGGTCTACAAGAACTTAGAAGACTAAATTATGATAAACGCACCATCACTTTCCTCGTCAAACGGTTCCCCAAAAAACACATAACCGTCCTCGTCCTCGTTCATTGACTACCAAAGAACGTTTAATCCTAATTATCAGAAAATTGAAGGGCCGCTGGTGTCTAAAGACAAAAAACAAATTCGGGAATTATACAGCTTATTTCTGAAACAAACAAAACGAGTCTTATAGACAAATATGCAGTTAACGAGTTCAATAACCTGTTTGTATGGTTAAAGTGTCCTTGAAATTTACTGCCGGAGATCGAGTCAACAACTGTTAAGATTTTATTGAACAGGATAGCAACAGGTCAACATTTAGGGAGTTTTGATTTAAAACTACGAAACAATATAAAGGGTGGAGAAATAGGGTGATTCCTAAGTACAGGAAAGAGTAAATAGTACGATAACTAAATGAGAAAGGGATGTGTACCAAATTCACTTCAATTATCGCATAGCAATTCTATTCCGAGAGTCAAATTCTGTAGTTTTACGACTTCCTGGAGACCCAAATATTTAATAGGCCTGCCGTAAAAGCTCCAGTGAACGAATAAGTTTTAAAAGCGAAGTTAAAAAACGAATTGTAGATGCAGTTCAGCAAAATATGTCCGATAAAAAAAAACATGGAGCTTGGGGTGTACAAAATTCCGAATATTCCATATTTTTACATCTGGTCCTCCTGAAACTCCCGGGGAGTCTTAGAGTCAAGTCCTGGTTACCTTAAAATCTGACAAATGATTCATACGGTAGACTACAATCCTTCGTGCAGTTAGTCTTAACAATGCAGTACGCAAAATTATTGCAAGTCATCAGAACACCATTGTTCTACCTCCTTTACCAGTACAGATATACACTAAACTAGTCAGCAGGGCGCCCTTAAATTATGATTTTGCCTCATGGACCTTCTTATTACAGGGGAAATACTTGAAAAGATGTTTGCAAATAGAGATGTCGAGGTTATTTACTGACAAAGGCAACTGCCGGTTACTCGTAGAAATTTTTCACCAAAGGTTAGATAAAAACGCAAAGAATCGGAGTAAGTTTTCGGGAAGCGGGAACCTTGGCTATATGCATTTGGGATGTCCTGTTAATTGAATCGCGGGCAAAAGTCTTTCTCAGAGCTGAAATATAATGTAATTACTTATTCTTAAAGATTATAAAACAAAATAGCCGGATGCAGCGGCCGATAGCTAACTGATTTTGTAGGCATCAAATTTTGGGACAAACACGAGACCATAGTTTGATTCAGGAAAATCTAATTAAAAAGTTGTTTCGGGCTGACAGTGAGATTTAATAGCGAGTCGGTATACAACGTACTTCCTTATGAGATAAATTAAGAAATATGCCCGCAGGCAGCATTCGACAACGAGAACATACTGCAACCCGAATCCGCTGTTGACTCTCGAATTCTAGCGCAAAGCGGCCTGGGCCATCAAAAATGTCTGCAAACAAAGGTCATTTTAGAGGAAAAAGTAGAAGGAAACTGTGCAGAATAACTGTCCGGCTGAAATTCTGGTACCGTTCACTGGAATGATCTAACTCACCCTAAGAATGGGGCTTAATATAACTATGTATTATTCGAGTCATT